GGTGGGCGCCGTCCCTGAGCTCTCATGGGCAGGGCAGGAGCAGTCGGCAGCACTAGGCCTGGACGCTGTCACAAAGGTCCTGAGTCACTCTCGTGGCTCTGGCTGCTCCCAGCCCCAGGAGGGACAGACGAGGGCCAGGGTCTCCTCCTTTACCCCCGAGTCCCTTGGTCTCTCCCCTTGGCCTGGGGTCTGTCCCACGTCCTGCCATCTCCCTCCCTCATCCCTCCCCCAGCCCGCTCCCATTTCTAGCCGCCTGGGCCCCACCTGTCCTTCCCGAGGAGGGGAGGGAGAGTTCCACATCTCCCCACAGAGAGAAGCTCAGGGGGCCGCACCTCCCACCGCAGGCCCCCTCACCCGACAGCACCTCCCACCTGGCCCCACGCCAAGGCCCAAGCAGAATTAGCAACAGGAAAAGCCAGGCCCTGGGAGAGACACTCTGCTATATATAGTCTTCTATATATTCTGTTTCTATTGTATATTCAATCTGTACATGTGGGTGTAAATGCTGTTAAATGACAAACCCAATATTATACTGTGGCTGGTGGACTATTTTCATCCTCAGTGCTGTACAGATCTATTTTCATTGTATATTTGATATATTTTTAATTTTGTAGCGTGTGGCTGGGCCAGGCCCTGGCCCGCGAGCCTGCGGGAGGGGCCGAGCCAGGGCCGTGTGCTTGCTGGGTGTGGGTTCATCGTGTGGTCGTAGCCTTCTGCTGTAGGCCGGGCCCTGCCCCAGCTGCGTCTCCGCTGTGTGTTAGATGTAGGGCCCAAAGCTTGGGGTGTGTGTGTGTGTGCGTGTGTGTGCGTGGCGTGTGCACATACGTGAGCGTGGGTGTGCATAGGTGCTGATCTGTGACTCCTAGTGTCCCCCGCCTTCCTGAAGACCACGCTCCCTTCCCCTGCCTCTTCCTCCTCCTCTCAGCTCTGTGGGGTCAGGCCTCAGGACGGGTCCCTCGGAAAGTTCCCTGCTATGGGGAAAGGCATGTATTTCTTGCTGGCGATTCACTGCCTTCACACCAGTGGGTTTGCCAGCAACAGAGAAGGAGGGGATCGGGGAGTAAAAAGCCCCCAAATTTATTTTCCAGTCCACCTCTCGCTGTTCCCACTGGAATCACAAGCTCTTCTTCCGGAGGAAAAGTACTTGATTCCTTAAGCTGGTGAGACCCCAAGAGGGCATCTCACAGCACCTCTGTCCTGCATTTGCCCTTGAGGCCGTCCTGACAGTGATCAGAAAGGAACATCTGCCCCCTTCCCCGTCCCCCACACTGCCTTCTGACATCTCTGCTGTTTCTCAGGGGAGTCAAGGTCAGGTGGGGTCACCCGAAGAGCTAAGATCCAGCCCCAGAATCCTGGAGAAGCAGGAAGTAGCCAGGGCAGAGCAGCCCCCCAAGTCTGCACTGGTCTCCCCACTCCACGGGCTTTGGTGTCCGTGCAGTACCTGTCAGAAGGCAGAAGGGACTCCAGGGCTGTGGGTTGCTGAGTTGCGGGCAGGGCGGGGCGTGCCTGAAAGACTGCCCCATGCCCTGCCCCTGCCAGGCCTCTAGCCCCATCACCAGCTTCTTGCTCAGGGAGCCTTCTGCCCTGTCCACTGAGGCAGCGTGAAGCCCGAGGCCCAGATGGGGGGTGGACGGGCAGGGCATACAAGTTAGCTCCAGTGAGGCTGGCTTCTGCCTCTAGCAATAAGTCTGCAGGGACTGCTGCTTTCTTAGTACGAGGAGAAGTCCTCCCGGGTCAGCCTGCAGAGGTTATGAGGCTGGGGGCTGGAGGCTGTGGTCCTGGTCCAGGCCCTGCGCAGGCCTGCAGTATTCGCAGGCAAGGGGCTGCTTTTCCGTTCTTCCTCACAGCTGCTCTCCTCCCCCGACCCTGCCAGAGTACTACGCCCCGTGAGAAGAGACACGAGGCTGACCAGTTAGAATGCACCTGACTCCCTGAGCACCCCGGGTCCTCCCACTAGGCCCTGAAAGTCGGGGTCTGCTGCCACTTCACTGGGACCCACTGACTGGGGCTGGAGGAGGAAGACCCAGGCCCCCTTGTCATCAGATGCTCTGCTTTGTACAGACCCAAGCACACACCCCAGGCAGTCACTTCGGTTCTGAGGCAAGCTCAGAACCATTCAAGTCCGTGTATCCCATGGTTGCTCGGAGTCCTGAGTCAGGACCACTCAGCCCAGGGGCGGGGACAAGACATTGTCACCCCAGAGCCCCTCCTTCCTCTCCATGCCATGGTGCACAATAAAGTGTCTGTTCTTACCAGACCATGCCTGCCTCTCTTTCCTGTTCTTGGGACTGGGGAGCGATGGGGGAGCCAGGGATCCTGAGGGAAACTCTGGGAGGGATCTCGTGCTAGGACGGATGGACAGGACCGCTGTAGGAGTCTAGATACTGGCTGAGGAGGGCCGGGAGGGACATGTATATCTTTTCCTAGTAACTGTCTTATGTATCAACAGTGTACACACTGGTAGCAGGTCTTATTGGGTTCCAACTCCCCCCCCCCATCTAATTTCCTGTCATCCTTGCAACAGTTCTCTGAGGGAGATCCTTTGCTGTCTAGATTCAAGTGAGACGCCATCTGCTGTGAGGACAGTGTTTGGTGTTCTCTTATTAGGGCCCTGCAGGGAAAACTCCTGCCCTGCCTGACTGCCAGGAAAAGCTACTACCTGTCAGGTTGGCAAGGGTGGCGTGAGTGAAGAACGGCCTCGGGGAAGGGTGGGAGGCCGAAAGTGCTTAGAACAAGCATATTCTAAGTTCTGAGAGAGCTGCCCCTCACTTCAAGGTAGCTGTCTCTTTTGCAAACCTCAGTAGAAGATAAAGATGGTATGGGATCTGACATCACCTCTCTCCTCAAATTTCAACCCCAAATGCTTATGTATTGAGCACCCACTGAATGTTCAGCGCTGTGAAGAATGGAATGAGCCAGAGAAAGCTCCTCTTCCTGCCTCTACCTCGAGACATTGGAAAAGGCAAAAAGTATGGCTCCTCAGGGAGCGCTTGCTCCCAACCCGCTCCACTCCAGGCTGGAATGATGCTGTTCGATATAGGACACACACAGCCAAGGTCCCCAAAGGAAACTTCCATTTTCTTCTCTTGCCAGAGAGAAGAGTGTTGTTCCAGAAATAGCCACCAGATGGCAGGAAAACCTTTCTCTCCAGATCCTAGCCCACTTCCCCGCCTCTCCCACTCTGTCACTTATTCCCTTGTGGGTTCGTTTATTCGTTGAACACACACTTATTAAGCACCCTCTGTGGGCAGGCTCCATGCCAGCTATACACACATAAAGATGAGAAAATCAGCCCCTGCCGCCCTGACTTTGGCAGAGGGAGGAGCCCTACCCCAGGCCTCCAAATCTCCCACATCTTTCTTTCCTTTTTTTTTTTTTTTTTTTTTTTTTTTTTT